TGGCTGTCTGTAAACTGGCCAAGGGGGACCAAAAAGCAATGGAAGAGTTCCTGTTCCCCCGAGCACTACGGGAGTAACAAGGAATAACGGCCACAAGTTGACAGAGAGTAGATTCAGACTAGATATCAGGAGGCGCTACTTCACAGTCAGGGCAGCTAGGATCTGGAACCAACTTCCAAGAGAGGTGGTGCTGGCTCCTAACCCTGGGGGGCTTTAAAAGGAGGCTGGATAGACATCTAGCCGGTATCATTTGACCCCAGCATCCTTTCCTGCCCATGGCAGGGGATTGGATTTGATGATCTGTTCAGGTCCCTTCCCATCCAAACAACTATGAAACTCTGGCAGCCATGCGGAGGGAGGAGGCATCAGCTGCAGTTAAGGGGCTGGAGACTGCCTGACTTGGCTACAGGGCCCTCTGCCGCTGGGGGAAGAGACCTAGACCCAGGCTACCCCTGTGGGGCTCTATACACGAAGGAGGGCTGTGTGTTTTTAGGCCTGGACGGTGACCTCAGCCCTCAGGAAATTCCTCATCCTGGGGTCTCCAGAGTGTGTGTGGGAGACCCCCTGGTTCCCGCTGGGGAGGGGGATGAAGGGGCTCCAACGACTTGGAGCTGCAGGATGGGACATGGCCCTTGCTCTCCTGGGTCACAAGTCTCCGCACAGCTCTAGGCACATCTCTCTGCGATGGGTTCCCCCAGTTGCTAAAAGCCCCCGCGTTATCCCTGCCCTCACCTCAAGCTCAGAGGTGCCCCACCAGCCCAGAGTACCATCCTTTGTAGGACACCCTGGGGAGCCCTCACACCTTCACAGGAGTCCCTCAGCCCCAGACCCCTCTCTGCTGTCTGCTGTTTGAGAAATGAGAGCTAGACCCAAGGGACCAACTCTTCAGTGCAAAGTGCCTCAGCTGCACCGGACTCATTCAGTCAGTGCCTGATCACAGCAGGGGACATTTTGCAAACTTAGGGAATCATTTTGCCAACTTAGGGAATCGCACCCTTCACCTCATTTGTGCTAGAAATGGCAGGGCCCCTTCTCCAGAACAGATTTTCCCAAGTGCTCTGATCTGATCTCCCCTTTCGCAGACCATCAGTAAGGGACAAGCCATGCTCATGATGTCCAAGGACACTCAGAAAGCAACAAGCACAGCCAGAAGCATGGGAAAGAGCTGCCAGGCCGGCCAGCACAGACTATATTGTGACCATGCAGGGACATGAGACCTGTATTACCATTAGTCGGTTGAAGGAACAAGAACCAGAGATTTTCACCTGCATGTTCAGCACCTTCACACGCTCACGCTCTCAGCAGCTGATGTCCTCCAAAGCCAGCGGAAAGCACTCAGGGCAGGGCCCCAGGGACGGCCTCTGCTGGCACCTGCTGATGGGGAGCCGAGCACGGCCTGTGCAGAGCTGTGGGGTGAGCCCAGGGCGAAGGCACCAAAGGTGACTTGAAGTGAGGCCTGTGAATCACAGCGGGATTGGTGGCACCCCCGAGGTCAACCTTGTTACAGCTTCACTGCCATTTGATTCCTGATTGCAACTCCCACCATCAAAAGGAGCGTGGCAGCCACAGGGTGAGGGC